ATAATATTTTAACAACATTATTTTAAATAAGTTTGTGTATAGACTGGAAAAATATATATATATATTGATTCAACACAAACATGACGCAATTAAGATACAAATTCTAAAATTGTTATTAATTAATTTAAATATTGTACAAGTTCCGTAGAATATTCTGATATTACACCATTATTTATTATAATAAATTCTTTTGCGTCTTATAATCGAGAAAATACAGTAATTCAAATGTCATAGTTTTGCATTAAAGTTCAGCCTCTGAAAACCTGATGTGTTCTTTCAGTGACGAATGCTATATTACGCACAAATGGGTTTAAATAACGTTTCAAATGTACACTTTTGTCTCCAAAAACACGCAGAAAATCAAGGTTAAATTAACTGTTTCTCAATATGTTTAGGTAAATCCGTGGTTGCCAGATATTTGTGAATTATAGACAAGCAAAATATGATTGGGTATGTCGAAGGCTAGCACGTTCTATCATAATGCAAAGTAAATTATTATTATTAAAATGCATAAAAACCTTCACTTAAGTACAACGTAAAAGTAAATCAAACATCCTATTAATTTATAAAATATATTAGACCTATAGTCTGAGCATATATGAAAGGGTTTTATATATGTTTTGCTGAGTTTATCAGAGCTGCACAAGTTGCGGCCCCTAGAAAAATATTCTGTGGCCCAGGGACTATAGGATTAACCACTCCTGGGCCTCTGAAAAATCATCTTTTATACTTAATCGAGTACAATATAACCTGACGTTATTTTAAAATAAGTGCACTCTTTTCATTATTTTTAAATTAATTATCTTCTTATAAAATACATTAATATTAATATAACATATTAATGGATTAATTTATACTTAATGCAAAACGCTCACATAATTTGAAGGAATGTAATTATCATACAGAAAATATGAATCTTTGGCCCGAAGCACTTCTATGTTTTACATTTTGGAAAACATGAACTTTCAAGTTGTGCACGGCTACACTATAGTGTAAGTCACCTCTAGAACTACAAAGTATCTTCATGGGATGCGAATGACATGGATTTTACGCAGAATGAGTGTCTCTGTGTAGGACAGACGAACGTTCAATTCGAGTGTGAGAATTTTCGCGAAAATGTGCGAAGAGAAACACGAGTGAAGCCGGAAACAGCCGAACGATTTCTTTAGTTCCAGCAAGCTCGTTTTTAAACCGCGCGCCAAGACATCGATTAAATCGGCATTAACTAATTATTCTTGTGTAGTACAGTTGGAAATTTGTGAAGTCGTTATATTTACGAGGTGCGATCGGAAAGTTTCAAGACTGTGTCAATAGAGGGCGAACCTGATGTAGTACAAGCTTCTGCCGCTAGGGGGTGCGGCCTACATTCATAGTGAATCAGTGTGCCAGCCGGCATCATTGAATTAGCATTTGTTTCTTAGTTACGGGCGTTTTGGTAGTGCATTACACCGACCCTCCTGCGATTTCGGAATGGCGTGTGCATCAAATTTTGCCAAAGACTCGCCAAAACGGCTACGGAAACCTATGAAATGCTAAAGCAAGCATTTGGGGAGTCCGCAAACTTTTGTGTGGCATTCACGTTTTAAAAACGGCCGAACTTCTGTCGATGATGACGAGCGTTCTGGACGACCATCTTCGAGCACAACGCCCGAAAAAGTTACGAAGATCGACGTCGTACCATCAACGACTAATGCGACATTGTTGGGATAGGCTATGGGACCTGTCAGCTGATTCTAAAGGAAGAACTCCACATGCGACGCATCAAGACAACGCGCCAGCGCACACCGCCCTCAAAGTTCGACAGTTTTTGGCCTCAAACACCATGGCCGTCATCCCGCACCCTCCTTATTCACCGGATTTAGCTCCGTGTGACTTCTTCCTCTTCCCAAAGATGAAAATTCAGCTAAAGGGAAGGAGATTTGAGACGATAGAAGAGATTCAGGCAGAATCGCAGATGGTGCTTGACAGGCTGACAAAGAAAGATTTCCAGGGATGCTTCCAGGCTTGGCAGCGGCGCTGGGATCGTTGTGTTCACTCCCAGGGGAACTACTTCGAGGGTGATGGATGAATGTAATACCTGAGATAAGTGTACAGGTTTTTATAGGCGCAGTCTAGAAACTTTCCGATCGCACCTCGTAACT